AGAGCAGCCCAAAGAGCAAGCGTGTGACCACCCGTGGCGCTCACTGCCGCTCCACTCAGGAGGCCATGTCCCAGTTACAACGTCAACTACTATGACGTGGGAAAATGGAACTAGTGTTGCCAGACTGCCTCCCAATTCAGGAAGCCAAAGACCTTTTTATATGATATCTAAATTTTATTTTATTTTATTTTTTGGCCAGGCTGTGCGGCATTCAGTATCTTAGCTCCCCAACCAGGGATCGAACCCATGCCCCCTGCAGTGGAAGTGCAGACTCCTAACCACTGGACTGCCAAGAAATTCCCCTATGAGATCTAAATTTTAAATGCTAGCAACTAACTGAAACTTAAAACACAGAATAAACCAAATAAAATTACACCTGAAGGCCATAATAAGCTGCCAGCTTCTGGCCCAAAACACCCTAGCCAAAAAAAAAAAAAGAATCAAGGGTGTTACATATTATGGTTCATATTCATGTTTATCAGAGCAAACAGCACTTCAAGCACATCACCTAGTCCTCTTGCAGCTTAAATTTAGCTCTGTCACTTACTGGCTGAGCTAGACACTTTGGGCATGTGTTATCCAACATCTCTGAACTTCTGTTTCCTCATCTATACCAAGAGAAAATAATGTCTTCCTTAAGAGTTTCACGATTTAATGGAAAGAAGAATGTAAAACAGGCAACCAATCAAAACCAAACAATGCAACAGCCAGTATCAGGAGTACTTATTGTTGTAGTGACCCAACCTCGGTCTTCATGAAGGAGAACAAGGCACACAAATCCCATCCTGAAGCCCAGCTAAGAGCATAATCAGACAGCTATCAGGACTGTGCCTGACAAATTTTCCATGCTACTTTAAAAACAGTAAAATTTATTTAGCTCCAGGATATAAAAGTATCCAATATGATAGTCTGGAAGGAGGAGTTTTCTCCACTTTTAAATTTTTTTGTGTGTAACTCCTGCAGAGAAAATATGTTTTACCTTCCACTCCTAAAGAACATACTTTAAACCCAGGTATATACATGAGAATGCAGACCATGTGAAAGAAGTTAAGAGAATACCCAAGAGCAGGTTGGCTGGAAAATGGAGTAAAGTTGCTAGATCTCGTGAGCAATATTAAAGAAGTTAAACACTTTACAAGGAAACTTTATCTTTCCAATGAAAAAACAACATCATATATACACAAAGGTCACAATGCTGGTTTTCCCTAACATTTACTTCATAAGCTATTAAAACTCTTCCTATTTAAGTTTTAAGAGGCAAATTCACTTTTTATTGCAAGCTATAAAATCTGTGCTGCCATATAAGGCCAGTGGGAGTGGCTTAAAACATATGCTGCTGTTGGTGGCCTCCTTGAAACACTCAACAGAAAGCCACCAAAAGCAATTACCAAGTTTCAAACTCCCTACTTGGAGGTGGAGAGCAAGAGAGACCAGAGCCTCTTTGTGGAGTTTTTCCAGCCTCACTTATGTCCTAACTACCATTACAAAGCTTCATCTTTGAGCAGCCGTGAAAAATTGAGAGTCCCAGATCAAAGCAATGGTAAAGGAGGCTCACCACTTGTCACAGTCGTCTCCATAACGGCCACAGCACTTGTGTAACCCAGGCAAAAATTTCTACTAACATATTATTTAGAGTGTCACTGCTATGACACGTATACCAATAAAGCCTAACATGGACATCTACATTTAAACAAAATTAGACCCTAACACACCAAAAATTAAACTACCAAACTGAAAACCAAAGTACTAAAAACACCAGAATCTTCTCTTATTTTAGACAAATATATACAGGATCAAGAAATCTGGACTGCCTGATTACTATAGTTCTTACCACCTTGGTTAACATGTACAATTTTTCTTCCTTTCAAAGAAAGGTCAAATTTTTCAACTCCCTCCACCAATCAAAACCATGACACTACACTACTGACTCACAGCAGAAACGCCCTCAGTTAAAGATAACAGCACCATCTCATTTGCTCAGTCATGATCTCCCCCTGAAGGCTATTTTTAGCGACTGAAAAAGGTATTTGGTACATTTTCGTATCTCTACCAAAAGAGGATTACTTTGCAAAAATATCAAAACCCATTATTGGTTTTTCTTTGACACTCTTCGTATTTAAGATTCAGTAACTGTCTCCCCTGCCAATGAAGGTGTCCCTAAAATTTTTACAAGCTATGAGGAGCATGATTATCATTCTCTAACATGAATGAAAATGCTCAGTGGCACTGCACCTGCCACTGGTGTCCAGTGAGAGAAGCACTGATAAGAAATGCCTAAAAGCATGCTGCTATCTGAACTGAGTTCACCTGATTTCCAGTAACTACTATGCCTCTATATCAATTAATTTAAACATAAGGTATTTTCTAAACTTCCAAGAAGTATTTTGACAGATTAGGTGAGAAACTCCTTTCAAGGGAATTTCACTGAGGTAGAAATAGCATCGAAATCCAAATTGACTTTTCTGTCAAGTTAATTACGAGAGACTACTGCTGGTTCAAGTGGAAAGTAACAAGTATAGTTTCTAAATGGGAAAAAAAGGTAAACAAGGCACCAAGAACAATGGTTCATCCTTTAACAAGTATAATGAAGAGGTATTTTTTGGCTTCCATGGCTGAACTCCATTTTAGCAGTGGAATAACAGCCCACTTAGGGAACACATAAGGGACAAACAGTCTCAAATTTAACTGGTCGTTTTGTCTGAGAGAAGGAAAAAGGCCACTACTGAATTATAAATAACAGCAAGGCCTACAACCAATATTCATTCAAGGTTGAGAAACATGTCAAAGACATCCTTCACAATGACAGCACCCTGAGAAGGGAAAGTCTGAGGTCCCAACACACCGTTTGTAAAGCTACCATCTGGGTCCTCAAGCTGCCTGCTCAGCAAGTGCAACTGCTGTGGGTGGAGGAGACCCGCGAGTCCCTCGTGTGAGGCTGCAGTGTGGTGTGCGGGTCTCATTCCTTCAAAGCTCATGTCCTCCTCTTGATCTGACATGTATCCTGGGGGGCTGGGGACACCATCCAGCGTCACTATAAACTTGGGACTTGCAGGTTTATCTGGTTGTACAAGATCTCTGCCAGACAGATAGAAAATACCATAGAATTAGGGAAACACGCACAAAAAGCCAAGCCTCCTAAAGTGCTCTTCAACAGAACTATCAGTCCCTTCCTTGGTTTGCGGTTTCTTCATTAACAAAAAAGACTTGGTAGGACTTACAGGTACAGCATCAGTGGATTCCTGCTAACACACAATGACTACGGCCAATCACTGAAGCATCAACACCACCGACCCTTCAGGCTGCTCTCAGGGCAATCTCCCCTCAACCCTGACCCCTGGCATCCGTTTGACCCTCATAGGGTCAAATGGAAATAAACGGAGAAACCAGCATCTATGCTCAGAACACAGAGCCAGCAGTTCTATATTCACCCTGATTTTATTAACTCTATGCTTGTTTCTTTACAGAACATTCAGTCCATTATCTAAGGAAATAATTACCCCAACCCAATCTGCTAACTCTCTGGTTAGACTTCCTGATTTTGATCACCTGGCTTTTTAAATTTCATTTCCTGCATGTGCATAAAGAAAAGAATCTCTTCAGATTCTTTTTTTTTTTTTTTTTTTTTAATAGCCATCCTAACAGGTGTGAGGTGATATCTCATTGTGGTTTTTATTTGCATTTACCTGATGATTAGTAATGTTGAGTGTCTTTTCTTGTACATGTTGCCCATTTGTCTGTCTTCTTTGGAAAAATATTTATTCAGGTTTTCTGCCCTTTTTTTTTTTTTTTTTTTTTTTTTTTTTTTTTTTGGGCGGGCCTCTCACCATCGCGCTATCTCCCGCTGAGGAGCACAGGCTCCAGACGTGCAGGCTCCGCAGCATGTGGGATCTTCCCGGACCGGGGCATGAACCCGCGTCCCCTGCATTGGCAGGCGGATTCCCAACCACTGCGACACCAGGGAAGCCCCTCTTAAGATTCTTAAGGATCTCTTAAGAAAAGAGCTAAATCATATACTGACTTATTTGCAGGATAATGGATTTCTGAATAAGAAAGATGAACTGGAGTTTTTGAAAACTGGACGTGCCTTATGATACATGGCCTAACTACAGAATCAATAAAGCACTCTACACTGGGGGCTAGGATGGGGAGGGGGGAAGCTGGGAACTAAAGGTTAACCTCCACTTCTAATCAACGCAAATTAGCTACACAAGAAAAAGAAACCATCTACCGTGTCTGCATAAGGTGTCCTGAAAGTACCCGAAGGGTATCTGCAGTCTTCATCCCCGACTCTTGGTTTGGTGCCACTACTATTTCCTCAGACAGCTTTGGCTTCTTCAGAATAAATGATCTTGTGTCTGCATGGACCATGGATTCCATGTCATAGTAATCTGAGCCAAAAAAATTGGCCACAAATGTTTACTTTTGAATATACCTTGCATTCCCAACATCACACACGTGAGAAGAATGTCAGTCTTTTATATATTTGTAATTATTTTCAAAGGAAAATTACAATGGTTCTACTCAGGAATAAGGCTGCAATTCTATGCCAAACATCTTTTCAAAGAAGTCAAGTTTTCCTTTCCTCATACAGCATATTATCAAGGCATTCTAATGAACACTCCCTGCCTACAGTACAGAAAGGTTCTTCCATGAGGCATCTAATGGGATATTATTAACAATAAAACTTACTTTAAGTACAACAATATTTTCTAAAAACATAAAGAATAAAGAGTCTTAATGCTCCCTAGAATGATACCAAGGCTGTTTTTAAAAAAACAATCTTTCTAAAATCTGTTTTGTTCATTTTGCACACTTACAAAGCAGAACATATCCTGATGAAAAGAATACAACTGGCATAATTTCTGCCTGGTTGTGGATGGACTACTTTGAAAGGGAATTCTAAGATGAACGGACATTGTTAAAAATATAGCAAGGAAAACTGACCTTTAATATAAGTAGCCACAGATCACATCATCTACGATATGATTTTTAAGCTACACTACTTTATAAAATATACCAAGACCTGGAGCCCAGGATGCAGTTGGTTGACCTATCAATAGGCAATCAACTGAATGAAGTTAGTAAGTCAGAATTCTCTCAAAATTACCAGGCCAAATAACAGAAACCAAAATTCACAGGGTACTTTATTCATGTTCATTCACTGAACAAACTGAACATGTGAGAGCACTGTGCTAGGTACACAAAGAAAAAACAGAAAAATAGATGTAGATGTAATTTCAGAACAGCATGCCCCAAAAGGTGATCCAAAAGAGGTATGAACAAAGTGTTGGGAGAATACAAAGTAACCTACTCCGGCTGGGAAATCAAGGAAAAGCTTACAGAGAAAAAAAAAAAGCTTATGAGGATGAACATTTGAAGCAGGTATTAAAGGAATGAGCAGGAATAAACTAAGAGGGAGAGAGAACTGGAGAATAGAGCATTTCAGGTAGAGTCACTGGAGAAAGTCAGGGGCTCTCCTAGGGCACAAGGAACTGAAGACACGGTGAGAAACGTGGTGTGACTGGAGGGGTATGTGGAAGGCTGAGTAGGTAAGTGGCAAGAAGGCTGAGGCGTAAAGGATCTTGTATGTGCCAATGAGTTTGGATTCTGGTCTAGAAGAAGTAAGTAATCCAGAGAGTTTTCTAAGTAGGGAAGTGACACGAGCAAGTTGGTTTTTGGAAAAACACAGTGGCAGGAATGGACTGGAGTCCCAGATCTCAGCTATGAGGCTGCTTCCCAAGAGAGATGGAGAGACTCCGAAATACCAGATTCTCACCCCTTGTCCTCTCCTCACACACGTCAGAGGAAGAGGAGACACATTCCACACTTGAATTGGCACTAGACTTCACAGCAGATGCATTTTCAACTACTGTCCCAGGAAGGAGGCAAACCTGCCTTCCCCTGCAAGGGCAGGAGAAACAGTAAGACAAGTGTAGGAGGAGAGGCTTGTCCTTGAAGCAGGACAGGAGAAAGAGCAGATTTAAAAGAGGGCAAAGATAAATTTCAATTTTAGATTTCTTTAGTTTGAAGTTTTTGTGAGACACTCAGGTGTTTAGAAAGAAGTTGAAAATTCAGATTCGACTATCAGGAGGCGGAGAGAAGAGAAGCAGAGTCAAAGCTGAAGGTGAAACGAGGACATTTAATAAACTGTACATAGTCGGCGCTGCCGTCTTCTCACTGAATCCTCACAGGGAGCCTGGGAAGCAGGTTTTCCTCCATGTTACAGACGACCACTTTGCAATTCCAAGCTCTCAGATGGTTTACTGAGCTCTCAGAGCTATAGCAACAGGAGGGCCGCAGTTCAGTCCACGGGCTGCTGCCCCTTCTCACCGCCCTGTTCTTTCTGAGGCACAGCAGTTCTACTAGTCTGCATCTTGGGAGAATACAGTAGAGATGGAAATAATGCTGAGGGCACGACAAAGGATAAAGTTAACATTTTAAGGGGCAGTAGCAGAGAAGGGGAGTTGAAGGAGAATGAAAAGGAATTAGTAGAAAAACAGAGAGAGAGAGTGAAGTCCTGGAAGCCAAAGGATCAAAGATGGAAGAAAACATTGGAACTCAATTGCCACACACCACAGAGTTTTAGAGAACTGTGCACAGAAAACAGAGCTATACACTCCACACGAGCCACTGGTCACCTCTGCAAGACTCACGAGAGCAGCCTGGGTCAAGGAGGGCAGACAGATGGGAGAGTTAGTGACATCTTCTGGGTAAAGATCACAGGCTGAACCCACGCATTGTTTCCTCCTGAAACTCTAATAAAATGTCAATTAAAGGGTTAATTATTTTAAAAACTCACAAAGAAAATAATTGTAAAAGAAGAGATAACCATATTTTGAAAGTAGAAAACTAACTTAGTATATCTCAAAAAGCAGAATCGTAAGCCAATAATAAAGCAATCTAATGTGGATCCCAAGATTCTTCAAAGGCTAGAAAGTGGCAGCACAGGGGACCCTGGGAAGGGGTTGGGAGAAAACAGCGTACAACAGAAGTGGGTTCAAGTGTCCATTTCTCTTTTATTTATCTGTTTTCTTCTTTTCTGATCCTTACCACACCTATTCCCCTAACCTTTATATTAAAGATACTTGGAATGATTGGAGATGTGCTTTCCCATCGATCATTGCTAGATAAGCTTATGGATGAAGCATCATGGTCTCTGATAGAAAGGTGCCACAACAATATTAACTAAATGTATATACTATTAGTTTTAAAAATCAGTTAGATTTCCTGGTAACCTCTGACCACTTCTCTCTTAGAGAAAAGTGGAGCTTTAGACTCCTGAAAAGGTAAAAACAGAGAGGGTTTCTGGACCAATGAATGCCAGCCATGTTGAAAGAAGTACGATTCTGAAAACGTGTGGGTTAAGGAAACATTACATAGTAGTTAATGCTGAGGTGCATCCCTCAGCCCCCTGTCCCCACTTAGCTCCCAGAACCCTAACAGCCATTCCATTTCTTGAAAGATCTTTCTTTGGAGAAGCTTACCAACCTGATAGAAAAGACCCAAAGACACAGACATCAGGTGCCCCCAAAGTAAACAGGCAAGAAAAATCACTCTCCACTGCAGGGTCTACATTCAAAAGTCAAAACCCCCTACCTCATCCCCCAATTAATGAACCCAAAACACCAACCAGCTTTTTAAGTGCCCCACTCTTAAATATAAGTCAACCAAGGATCCTCAGACATCTGAGAACCTGTCATGAAATACAGTGATCAAAGCAAACAACCTGGAGAAAACAAGATCAAAGAGGGAGGGGAGGAAAATGTACAAAACTGCCTTTAATATCTTCAGAGAAATAAGAGAAAGTATTGCATACATGAAATAAAATCAGTAGGTTAAAAAATAAATTAAAGGAATATGCAGAAACAAAAGGGCTCTCAGAAATAAAAAATGTGATAGGAGGTAAGCAAAGGATATACTAATTCATAAGCCTTGTAGAACTGCTTGATGCTTCAAATTGTACATGCATCATGGATAAAAATAAAGGAAACAAAAAAACGTTTAAGAGCTGATGACGCAAATACAACATACACAGACCTTAGCTGCCAAACATTTTGAAAATACTCTTATGTAGAAAGCAGGATGGAATGTGGGGAGATGAGAGGGCAACATCAAGGATGAAGAAAACCTCAACACTTTTATAGACAGAAGGGAGAAGCCAGAAGAGGGTAGAGCCTAAAGCTACAGAAGTGTGGCGACACCAGAATGTTCGTCAACTGAGTAGGATCTGGCATCTGGGTAAAAGGTAACCCTTAGAGACAGTAAGCACAACTTTCTAAGACAGAGGCCAGGAAGGGTCAGGGAATACAGTTGCTGACTGTGGAATCCTGAACATGGGTGAAGAAAATTCAGTTAGGAGCCAACAGGGAGGGGTCAAGAGACCACAGCTTCCAACATTGGCAGGTTTAGAGGAAACAGATGCAGGAGAAAACAGGATCTGAATCAACGACTCCAGGGATCCAATGGCTCCTTTCATTTATTCAGCAGACAGTTATTAGGCACTTACACGCATCTGGCAGGGGCCAGGCATTGAGAACACAAAGATAAATAAGGCACTCACCCCAGTCCTGAGGTAGCCCATCGTATTTCTGTCTGTGTGCTGGGGGTCAGGGAGGCAGGTAAACAAGTTACAGTGGCTCTAAGAATGGTAAGCTCTAGGTATAGCCCTGGCCATGAGATTCTGAAGTGAAGCACAAGTGAGGAGATAATGTTGAACATGCCAGAGGACACTAAAGCAGCTCAGGGCAATGGCAAAATTTGGATGGAGAGTAGGGTAGGGACTCAAGTGGTCCCTAAAGCAGGGGCATGAGCAGCCAACAGTTTGCAGGGACCTGGGTGAAATGGCATCAAAGGAAGAACGTTTCTGCATGAGGTGAAAAATACAAACACCATATAGCATGAAGAAAATGCAGATCTTATCTCCTGGCCCTAGAATATTTTCACAGATCTTAATATGGCACCTTAGGGCAGGATCTAAGACATACAAGATACATTAAATGAGGTGTAAGGAATGGAAATAACTGAAAAGTGCTAGATTACAATGAAAATTTAAGATTATTACCAACCTTGACTGATCTGCAGAGTTTCTGCCATTACTGGGTCAATTTGCAGTCGGGATAACAATTGCTTCTGTTGAGTTCCTAGAATATAAATTTTAAAACTTCACTAAGCTTAAAAAACAAACAATACCAGCACGTGTGCTTCCCAGAAATTAAGACCAAAATAATCTTTCTGGGTTCTTAATTCAAAGTCTTTAAAATAGTTTAAAGCTTCAACAATACAATTTAATAATATTTATAGACCGAAGGTCTGTAAGACAAAAATCTGTACTCAGGTTAAATCAAAAATGGCAATGGTTCTCCCTGTCTGGAAGCTGGTTTCCTTGGATTGGAGATAAAGCCTGGTGATAAAGAAAAAGGGGGTGCAAAAGCGAGGGGGAGGTGCTGCAAGGACCCTCAGCTTGCGTCCTGGGAGACAGGCAACAGCCAACTGCAAGATCAACATGAGAAGTGTTTCTCTCAATCACCTAGGCTCTCACCATTATAAGTCAATCCCCCACCCACAGAAGTGCAAAACAACACCCCAGTGTTATCTGATCAGAGTTCCCAAAAGACAAACTACAGGCTTGGATGGATACAAAAAGAATAATGAACAAGTAAGTAGACACTCAGAGCTCTACAGTCCAGGTCCTAAAGCAGCAAAGTATGTAAACAATCACTTGGATCTCCTGTAAGAAAAGATGCTCAGCTAGAATATGTATTATTTCTTAAACACATTCATAATTTCCTCATAGTTACACTGCAAAATGAAATAAAACAGAGACACAGAATTGATTTTTCTATCTTCAGTTTGAGTGATGGGAGAATATCCTAACTTCTCCAAACCTCCCCAGTCCAGTGCTCAGCAGATACTAGGTACTCACTTGCTGATTTAAAACAGAAGTGTTACAGTACGGTGTATGAGGGAATGTGACTGATAGGGCTCCAAATACTGAAATATCAGTAAGATGCATGCATGCTAATTCTTAGTAAATCTATTACTGTCAGTTTCACAAGGACAGTCTGCTCACTCAGTGCCGACATGTAAGTTGGCAACTGTTTGCCAACTATCATGTTTCATTAAAATTCAACTTCAGTAAAAATTTTAAAACCTACCAAACTTTTATCAGCTATTTTCTTTTAAAATATATTACATTACTTTTTAGTGGTGTGCAAAAAAAACCAAAAAAGTTAATTCCTTTCAAAATTATCATGTTTAAAAACACAGTAAATCCTGAGGAGCTGACCTGAAACACAGATATCATTTGGTCAAATTGTATTCCTGTAGGACAGCTTGGGAAACTGATGTGTAATTAGGTTACAGGAATTCAAATACTCACAACAGGTCTCTTTAACATAAACAGTAAACAATGGAAGAATTATACATTTCCAAGTAATTTCACAAGACAGACACATGAAAGAGGACCATTCTCTGACATTTCAAGTTTTGCTTCATCTCTCTATACTCATCTACCTTTTCAAACCATCATTTTAGAGAGATCCACTAAAATGGATGGAATTCTAAAGTCTAGGCTTCTAAGTTAAATCATGTAGAAGAGTCTGATTTTGTCATTAAAGGTCCATGAAAAATTCAAGTTCTCTGTGCCTTGCTGCCTCCATATGAAAACTACTACATGATGATATCACGTACTAGGAATTTACCTTTCTCAATGTTTCTAAGGAAGCCAATTATTTTTACATCAGTAGTTCCTGACTGTGATTCAAAATCTACTACCTCTTGAAGATCTTCAAACTGTCTGCTGCATTCAGATGTTAACGTTGAATATTCATTCATTTTAACCTCCAAAGACGAAATTTTTGCTTCATTCTGTGACACTCTAACATTTAAATCAAGAAGATTTGCTTCCACTGTCAAAACTGCTGCTTTCATCCCTTTAATTTCACTGATATCAGTTGATATTTTCCTTAAAAGTTGGGAAATATTGTCTAGCTCACTCAGTGAACAAGAGGAACCTGTTACAGAACCTAAGTCAATTAGCCCAGGTGAAAAGAAAACCGGTAAAGATGGTGATGGAAACCTTGAAGACATTTTCATAAAATTCTCTTTCCTTCTTAGTATTTGGTAATTTTTCTTTCACAGCCCATTAAACTTTCATCAAAAATAAAAGCAATCACTAAGGCTGTTACTTTAAGAAGTACTAAAAGTAACATTTTAAAACCTATAAATTAAAAGATAGGGCTGTACATTTCTGGAGTCAGAGCTCCAAAGTAAATGTGAAAATGCTAAACAAACCAGACCAATGTTCTCTTTGCCACAACTAAGAAGCCCTAATATGCAGGCCCCTGTATCCTGTGAGTCTTACTTACAGCTCCTCTCTAAACAATAAACCCTATTGTTACACACAAAATAATTCTGGCTTCTGATTGGCTGGAAGCAGACATGTGACACACAAAGAATTTTCTATTATTTACCTCATATGAGGAGCACTGAAGATCTGAAGCATAAATTAAGCAATAAAACAGCATGACATACTTCATACCTGAATATGATGTGAACTTAATGTACTTTTGCCCCTTCATCAATTACCCATAATTTTCAAGCTTCAGATTATTTTTAAATTGTTTTATCTAGTATCGAGTTTCATTTCCCCTTGAAAATAGTAATAGGACAGTACTTGACACTTCCTTTCTAGGGAGAGGGCAGGGAGGGTAATTGGACCCATGATCACAGACAAATCTCTTTAAAAATATATGTGGTGGGCTTCCCTGGTGGCGCAGTGGTTGAGAGTCCGACTGCTGATGCAGGGGACACGGGTTCGTGCCCCGGTCCGGGAGGATCCCACATGCCTCGGAGCAGCTGGGCCCGTGAGCCATGGCTGCTGAGCTTGCGCGTCCGGAGCCTGTGCTCTGCAACGGGAGAGGCCACAACAGTAAGAGGCCCGCGTACCTCAAAAAAAAAAAAAAATATATATATATATATATATATATATATATATATATATATATATATATATATATATATATATATATGTGGCGATGGGACTTCCCTGGCTGTCTAGTGGTTAAGATTTCACCTTCCAAAGCAGGGGTTGTGGGTTCAATCCCTGGTCAGGGAGCCAAGATCCCACATGCCTCATGGCCAAAAAAACAAAATATAAAACAGAAGCAGTATTGTAACAAATTCAATAAAGACTTTAAAAATGGTCCACATCAAAAAAATCTTTAAAAAAAAAATATATATATGTGTGGTAATAATGGAATTCAACTGTACTGATATAAGATATGGTGGAAATTTAAAGATAGGGAAAATGAGGACTTGGCCTTGTTTTGATACTAGATCATTATTAGATATGTGATTTTCTCCCATTCTGTGGGTTGTCTTCTCTTTTTCTTGATAGTATCTTTGGAAATACAAAAGTCTTTAACTTTGATGAAGTGCAATTTAACTATTTTTTTCTTTGGTTTCTTGTGATTCTGGTGCCATAAGAAACCACTGCCTAATCCAAGCTCATTTAGAGTTATACCTATTTTTTTCTAAGAGTTTTATAATTTTAGTTGTTACATTTTGAGTTAATTTTTATATATGGTGTAAGGTAAGGGTCCATCTTCATTCTTTTGCAGGTGGATATCCAGGTGTCCAGCAACATTTTTTGAAAAGACTGCTCCTTCCCCAATGAATTGTCTTTGCATCCTTACTGAAATTCAAATTGATCGTAAATATACTGGTTCATTTCTGGATTCTCAATTTGATTCCATTGGTCTGTAGGTATACCCTTATGCTAGTGCCAATCTTGATTACTGTAGCTCTGTAGTAAGTTTTGAACTTGGGAAATATAAGTCTGCCAATTTTATTATTTTTCAATAGTTATGTCTATTCCAAGTCCTTTTCATCTCTATGTGAATTTTAGAATCAGCTTGCCAACTTCTACAAAAAAGCCAGCAAAGATTTTAACAAAGATTGAGTTGAATTCAAGATCTATTTGGGGAGTATCACCATCTTAACAATATTAAAGTCTTCCAATCCAAGATCACAGATGTCTCTCCACAGCTTTAGTTTGAGAAAGGTTGTTTTTACTTTGGTTTACTCACCAAGCCAACAAATAAGCTGTGCAAAATATAAGGATGCAAGACGGTAAACACAACTCCCCACAGCCTCTCTAAAAGAATTTGTATAAAGAACTGTAGCCTTTGACTTCCCAGTTAAATAGATGTCATTCACAGTTAGAGAACAGAGAAAAAGTGCTGAAATTTATACAAGAATCTTTATTCGTTTCTCCATTACATCTGTAAATTAACCTAAACTCTTCAAAATCTTTATACAGAAAATAAGTTTCAAAATTTACAAAGCTTTAGAGTCACATGGAATTTTTTAAGAGCACTAGCTAACAGAGGACATGTATAGTAAATATTAGGAAGAGTGGCAAATCCCCAGCCAAGCACCGCCTGCAAATCAGCTGGACAGCAAACACAACTTCAGTGAGCAAAGTAGAAAAGTGCTCTAACAGGGGATGGGTCACAAAGAAACAAAGTGCCTAAAAAGAGGCCATTTGAGGCTTCAAAGCCTGGGCCCTTCAAAGTTGGGCCCAGCCCAACTTTAGAATGCAAAATAAGCAAAGATCCTTCCATAGATTCCAACGTCAATATCCATCAACAGAGAAAGTTCACATATTCTTGGGAAACCAGAGCACAGAAAGGTGAAGATCAGCTAGTGAGTGGCAGAGCCGGGTTTAACACGCAAGCGGTCTGTCTCCCTGAGCCCGTATTCATAATCACTAGGTTATTATACTTCTATGGTACATTAAATGGAACAAAACATGTTACAAAGAAAATCATGTGGTGTAATTCCTTTATATAGACATACATAGGTACATATAAATATACAGATAATTCTACTGTATACAGAAAGGATGCACATGTACATACAAATAAAAAAAATGCCAAGACTACAGACATACACCAGTCTGTAAATGCAGTGCTTACCTCTGAGGAAGGCAGTGGGCTGAACGAAGGAGGAATTTTCCTTGTTTTCTCTGAATATAAAAACTCCTCTTTACTAAGAGTCTTTCACAGTGATTCCAGTCCAACATGATATATTAAGTATAGGCATTTACAGCCTCTCCTTCTGGAGAGTCCGTAAAAAT